GAGAACTTCCTTTTTCCTTTTCAAAATTGCCTCTTTGCGTTTCTCAATAGCAAGATCAAACCCTTTTCCAGTTTGTTTGGCTGCCGAGAAAATAGATTCTGAAGCTGTGAAGCATGACCCGAAAATTCAATTTTCTCTCATTCTCTCGGTAATCAGAGAGAAAATCAATACATTTTAAAAAAAAACTAATTTGTTCTTGTTTTTCAGACGTTATTAACAGATTAAGCCTCCTAAGAGGAAAAGACATGGCTAGCTTGTATTCCTGCTCCTCCAAACGGTGCTACATCCAACTATTTTTTGATCTGCTAGCTCTGAATCAATGGAGAAAGCAGAAACAGATTGAAATGGCCACAGAAATTCGAATTCTCACGAAACCTTCAAGCACATCTCTTGAATCAATTCAGCTAAATGTCAACAAAAATCCCCAATGCAGGTCCAGATAACAATTGACCTCTATAGATCTTCCTGATATTACATACCAAAACTGGAAAAAAAATCGAAATGATTGCGATGGATATCTACCCTGCAACCCTAATCAATAATTTGGAAAAACAATTGCCCACCAAAACCACCAGAAAAAGCAATCAATGCCCAACAAACTACGACATACCTGACGCAAATGAAATCATGAAATGGGTTATCGTCTTGGGGAATGAGACGAAGGCATCAATATAGTGAAAACAAAATAAACGTGAAATGACAGAGGAAAGCGAAGGCAAATCGCTAGCGAGGTCTCGTCGGTCTTGCGACGGATCCGAGCGGCCAAGATCAGAGGGTTCTGGGTTCGAACCGTCGGGAAAGGAGAGAGAGCGGGGACGCAGAGCAGAGCTATGTTGGGGCAGAGCAGGAGCGAGGCGAAAGGAGGAAGGTCCCAGATGTTGCTCACTCTGCATTTGGTTCTGGGTTCAAACCATCGAGATGATGTGGCAAGGGTGGGGTCTACAAGGCATGGGTGGCAAAAATAAAAAGATTAAAAAAACCCTAAACATGTGACCGTTTGCAGTTAAACGATTAGTGAACAGTGCAGTTAGCTTAAATTGGACGATGGAACGATATTGGTATGTTTTTGCATTGTAAAGGAAGGGCAGGTGAAGTTAATTAATATTTAATAGTAGAGGGAGAAGAGGTAAATTCATAATAGAAGGTTTAAATTGTATTATTTTTGATAATAGAAGGACGATTGATGGCATTAACCCTAACT